AATCAGGCTCCTGCCTAATATAATGCAGCTATCCCTCTTACAAACAAAAACATATTAACCCTCTCACCAAAAGAGGATCCAAAGTCCCTATATGCTCCTTTCTGTTCTAGCTTTGTTATCCTGTGGAATGAAGAGTATGATCAGTGTCCTGCCATAAGGACCCTAAAGGTAGAAACTGTGAAGGTATAATGCAGACCCTGCCAGGCACAGAAGACAAAATCATTCCCCAGTATACCAAGTGCCAGGAAGTATGTTGATTTGTTCCAGCAACAAAATCACATTTGGCACAGCAGCTGCAGCAGGAGCCATCACCTAAGTAAGTTTATGATAACCCACTGTCATTCTCTAAGATTCATCCATCTTCTACACAGGCCTAGTAGGTGGGTTAAATGAGAATGTGGTAGGAATCACCACCCTTGCATCTTTCAAGTCCTAGATGGTGGCACTAATCTCTGCCATCCTTCCAGGAATATGATATTGCTTTTGGTGTGCTATCTTGATAGCTCCGGAGAGGCAGTTCTAGTAGCTTCCACTTGGCCTTTCACACCATAACAGCCATCACTCCAGGGAACCAATGTCAGAATCCTGCCAGTTGCTGAGTATGTATATTTCAGTAATGTATTCTAGAACTTGGGAAAGAACCACAGGTTAGGTGATAATGTCTTAATAATTACTTAATATATAATAATGTATGGGTATTAAAAATATACATTAGTAATTATTCTGAAATTGATAACAGTAAATTGACATGAGTGTAATACTGAATAATAACTGATTATGCATGCTTGCTCAAAAATTGGCCATACTCATTCATTACACACAAAAACACATAACACACATACATACATTCTCGTATTAGCCTGCGAAGCCTGTGTGCATGAGAAGCCAGTCACATGCATAAGAAAAGAAACACTAAGCAGCTTCATTCTCTCATGAAATCCTCATTTCTTCCTTCCTTCTTAAGGAGATTCACTTCTCCTGGCTTTCTTCTTACTTCATTTCATGATTGCCTCACTAGATTGCCAACTTCCCAGGTCTTTGCCTGAAAGATCCCAAGGGATTCCAGCCCCCTTTGCCTTCACCAAATATAAGCTAGCTCCTCATAATCTGTGATGTCAGGATTAGAGCTTTGACCTCCTCTCAGTACATAGGATGAGCATCCTGTCTCTTCCACATCTCCCAGTAGGTTGGTTTTCATCCTTTGATGAATAAACAACCTTGGAGTACAATCCAGGAGATAATATTTCTCATGATCATGTTGTAAACTCTGGTCCTCTCCAACTTCTCTGAGAACTCACAAACATGCCACACGTCCTTGCAAGTTTTGTGCATAATGCTTTTAACTAACCTAGGCCACATCTATCAATTGTCTTCAAGTAGAGACCTGTACTACAGGGGATCGCACAACATTAAAGAGAGGTATGTATTAAAATGCAAGAGAATAGACATCAAGACTATCAATTGGCACTGGAAAGGAAACAATCAGTGTGAGGTTTTTCCTCATTTAAAAAACCTATGTAATTATACAATTTTTACAGTATGAAGTCTCCATTGCATCATTTTGGAAAGCATGAACAGAATAATTAGGTCTTATCCACAAAGCTGCTTTTCTCTAGGACATTCCTCAATTATCCAAACCAGAGGACCCCATGTAACTTTGTTCTTTCTTCTCCCTTACCATCAAGCCCTATCAAGTCTCCTTGTTGAATCTATCACCTTAGCTACATCCACTGCCTGAATCTTCATATCTCTTGGATACTAGCAAATAGCTTCCTAACCAGTCCTACTGCTTTCCAGTCTCTCTTCTTCCAAATCATCCCCTAGACTGTCATCCAACATATTGTGTTCTAAAACCCTTCATAGTTGTCCTCTTATAAAAACAATGATAACAATAACAACTACACCTAACATTTAGAGAACACATTGTGTGTCCAATACTGCACTAAGCAGCCCTGGCCAGTTTGGTTCAGCAGTTAGAGCGTTGGCCTGTGGTCCAGAGAGACCCAGGTTTGGTTCCCACTAAGGGCGCGTACCTCAGTTGCAGTTTGTCCCCGGCCCTGGTTGGTCGTGCGGGTGGCAGCCACTCAATGTGTCCCTTTCACGTCGATGTTTCTCTCTCTCTCTCTTCCTCTCTCTCCCTCCCACTCTATCTGAACAAAAAATGGAAAAATGTCCTCGGGTGAGGATTAAAAAAAAAAAAAATACTGCACTAAGCACTTTACATACATTATCACTTGTAACCCACACCAGTCCTATGAAATTGGTACTATTAAAAATTACTGGTAACAATAAAGTATACACTTCAACGTAACACAGATTGCCGTTCCAACCCCAACTCCCATGTCCACCATCTTCACCTCTTCTCCATGTACTTTCAGCGCAACTTCCCAAACATCCCACACATTTTCACATTTAAATGCCCTTGTGCTGTCTTCTTGCCTTGTTAGGTGTTTCACTAATGTTCCAATTCTTGTCTTTTTAAGTGTTCCAATTACACCTGAAAATAATTTGAGAGCAGAATTTCATGCCTGAAAATTAAAACTTAACTTTTACTAAATGAAACTGAACTTAATATGTTCTGTCATACATTAACTCCAATTACAACTTTAAGCTCATCTAAAATTTTGCTTTGTGTGAACACAGCATTTTACTAATAATTAAATGGTCTTTTATGCTCCAGGGCAGATAGTCAGAGCTCCTGAAACTGAAAGTGTTTGAAAAAAATCTGGATTTAAACAAATGAACAAAAAATCTGGGTTTTAGGACTTTAAGCTATGCAATTAACTCAAGCAATGGTGGTTTGTTGTGTGTTGTTGAGGCTTTTGCTCTTTCTTTTTCATTTTTACTTAAGAAAGCTTCTGGAGAAGCAAGGACGTTGCAAAGTAATATTCTCTGGAACTCTTTGGTTCTGAACATTGCTGCCTTTAAGACAAACACTTGGTGAAGTTGTTGAACACTATCATATATCCTGATTTCTTCTTTATTTCAAAAAGGAATTGCTCATTAAAATGGCATTCAATTAAACAAACATTTAAGGAGTGTCTACTGAGAATAAGGTATTGATTCCAGGTTAAAGTATTAAAGCAAGTCTTTTTTACCTACCAATTGAACTGTCTTTAATAATTGTACTTGTATAGTACTTTTCTTTTCCATTACCTCATTTGATTTTCCAATGAGATAGGTGAAATAATTCTGCCTCCAACAGAGATGGTTGCTGGGAAGTGGCATGGGCAACACTTAACCTTAAGGTTCAGTTTTAAGTTGGAGGTAAATATCCATCCCAAACTTAAGGATAAAAATGATCACACAAGATAAGGCAGAAAAATCAAAGCTCGGAAAGGAAAATCATATATGGAACATGAAAGACGAGCAGTGTCATAAGACAAAGTTATACTGGGGCAGAAGCTTACTCTCAGTAGAGGAGCTGCCCCCCCACTCATGATTCTCTGTGTTTCTACCCTTGCCTTTTTCCTCTAAAAAGCTAGGCTCCTTTCTAAATTTTTAGATTTATTGCCAAACTCAAGGAACATTTGATTGCAATAGCACAGCGATTTTTAACCTTATTCATCTCATAGCACACATCAACTAATTACTAAAATTCTGCAGCACACGAAAAATGTTGTTTATTTGGCCAATCTGACAAAAAATAGGTATAATTTTGATTTATTCACACTGGACAGCTATTGTAGTGTTGGCTATCATCATTTTTTTTTTTTTTTTTTTTTACAATCTAAGGTAAAAGAGGTAAGTGCTCCTGGCTAAATAATCAGGTACTGAATGTTTCAAAAATTCTTGCAGCACACAGGTTGAAAGTTGCTGCAATAGCATATAACTCTGAAATTACAAAGTATTGATAAATTCCACCTTGACATACTATCTTTTTTTTTAATCATCACTTGAGGATATTTTTCTATTTATCATCAGATAGATGGAGAGCAAGAGAAACATTGACGTAAGAGAGAGACACATCAACTGGTTGTCTCCTGCATGACCCGACCAGGACTGGGGACAAACCGCAACCAAGGTACATGCCCTTGACTGGAATTGAATCTGCATTGGTCTATGGGCTGATTTCTTATATATAAACATAAAGCTTCATTTTAAGATGAACAAAATCAAAAGAAAAGTCCCTCATTTTCTAATAATGTGTAGTTTTTTATTCTTTGCCTAGAATTTTCTATGAGCACATTAATGAGTTCAAATAACAAAGTCACTAAATATCTTTGTGACCTTGGGTAGGGCACACAAGTTCCCTATACCTCAGTTTCTTCTGTTTTAAAAAATGAGATTGGGTCCTGGCTGGGTAGCTCAGTTGGTTAGAACATACGTCCTGACAGACCAAGGTTGTGGGCTCAATCCCCAGTCAGGGCACATTTAAGAATCAACCAATAAATGCATAAGTAAGTGGAACAACAAATCAGTGTTTCTCTCTCTCCCTTCCTTTCTTTCTAAAATCAATAAATTTAAAAATGAGATCATTTAACTAGAAATCATCTAAATAACAAAGTGCCTTTTATTAATTCTAAAATATAGGATTTATAAAATAAGTAAAATTCTGTGATTTGATGGATCCATTTTGCCCAAGATGTTTAGCAATGCCTGGCAAAGGAAATCTAAAAAGGGGTTCCTGAATAGTATATTTTATTTATTTATTTATTTAAATATATTTTTTAATTGATTTTTCAGAGAGAGAAGAAGGGAGAGGGACAGATAGAAACATTGGTGTGTGAAAGAAACATCGGTCAGCTGCCTCCTGCATGCTCCCTACTGGGGATCAAGCCCCCAATCTGTGCATATGACCTGACCAGAATTGAACTAGGACCTCTCAGTCCATGCGAGGATGTTCAATCTACTGAGCCACACTGGCTGGACAGTATGACATATTTTAGAGACTTAGACTTCTTAGTCATAAATCTATGCAATCAAATAGTTTAAAATCTAGTCACCAGCAGGCCACGCGCTAGGACTTGAGAGTTGGGAGGTGATCAAAGCCACCTGAAATGTCAATAGCTCATTCATCTGTCCATGCCAAATGGATCGTGGGGAAAGTGATTGGAACAGCAATGCAAAAAACTGCTAAAGTGAGAGTAACCAGGCTTGTTCTGGATCCCTATTTACTAAAGCATTTTAATAAACAAAAAACCTACTTTGATCATGATGCTTTTCAGCAGTGCACAGTTGGGGATATTATGCTCCTCAAAGCTTTACCTGTTCCACGGACGAAACATGTGAAGCATGAGCTGGCTGAGATCATTTTCAAAGTTGGGCAAGTCATAGATCCGGTGACCGGAAAACCCTGTGCAGGAACTACCTACTTGGAGAGTCCTGTTAGTTTGGAAACCACCCATCTAATCAAAAATCTGGAAGAACACAGTATCTCTTCTGAACAGTGAAGGAGGATTAGAAAAATAAGCCAAAGGGAAAGATTTATAAGTTTGCTTTATGGAAAAGAAATGTTTCTAAGTTTCATCACAAACTGATCAGTTTCTCTTCTGGTATTTATGAAATAGCCGAAAGTAAATGAATAAAAGGTTTGTTATAATCCACCCCACCCCCCCAAAAAAATATATAGTCACCAAAAGAGGAGAGGCCAACAACAACAACAACAAAATCTAGTCACGAGTGACAGCACAGGTTAACATCAACAAACATACTGCATTTAATCTTGAAAATAGAGGTGTACAGCTGCTTTTCATGTAAATTGGTTTTGTCTCCGGATATTTATAAACCCCAATTTAGAAGAATAATCTATTTTAAGAGAAACACAGCAAGAGACTATCACTTTTGAACCTTAATGCATATAAATTATGCCTCTAGGTTGAGAGCCAGCATCTAAATCCTACCAATTTTCCAGGACGCAGCTCAGAGGCCACTCCAGCACTCTGGACAGGCAGATGAACTCTCTTCATCCCACTTCTGTCACTGCCCCCCTAGGACAATAAATCTTTCCCCAGACAAACATTCTACTTCTTGGCATTACAGTGATTAGATCCCAGCTTCCCTAACTGACTGTAAATTCTCTGACACTGTGCTGGCTCTGCATTGTTCATAAAGCAAGCATGCAATAAATATTTGCTAAAATAAACTCATATAAATTAATAAAATCTTATTAATTTATGGACATAACTACAAATGACAAAAGCATTGTAAGTGATTCTGGATAAAGTCCTGAATTGAAGAGCTTGGTTACATATTCAGAGCCTTTGACCCTGTTTGAGGGGAAGCTGAGGATGGAAATAAGTAGCTACAGAGAAAAAAATTAAAGCCCAGGTTAAAAAAAAGAAAAAAAGGAGTTTGGCTCTGGCCGGTTTGGCTCAGTGGTTAGAGAGTCGGCCCACAGACCAATGAGTCACGGGTTCGATTCCAGTCAAGGGCACGTACCTCAATTGCAGTTCATCCCTGTGTCTCCCTCACATCGATGTTTCTCTCTCTCTTTCACTCTATCTGAACAAAAATGGAAAAATATCCTCAGGTGAGGATTTTTTTTAAAAAGCAGCTTGATCTCTTTTAATTGGGAGAAGCTAAACATTGCTTCCCAATGTTCTTGTTTCATCCATGAGGGAGAAAAGATCTCAGATAATAAATAGTCTTAAAAATCCTTATGAATTTGCAATTCATTTTAATGATGAACCTGGGGCTAAGCTTTAAGTAACTGTCCAAAGTCCCACAGTATTAAGTGGCAGGGCTTAGCTAGAACCATAGCACATGCATTTTCCCACATTCCCCAAATTTATATTAATCAATATATTTTGTACAGATTCACGTGTGAGCACAGCTACAATTCTAATATTAGCTTTGAAAATAAAAAAAAAGTATATCAGCTAGAAAAATTTGTTGCTTTTGTGTGCACGTATATTTGTGTTTAAGCACTAAGGATATAGATGGAGAAACCAACATTTCCACTCACCTGGAAGAAATCATAAATTCTAAATGGGTAAGCGACTAGTTATATTTCAAGACAGTGTTAAATGCATATACTTTAAGGAAAAGTATTGAGGTTAACTCTTTTACTGTTCTTTCATTTAAAACTAGTAAGTGTGCCTCTCTAGGAGAGTTCTAAAGAAAATAAGATTCTCTAAAAATTCTCGGCATCACCCTGACAGGGTGGCTCAGTTGGCTGGAGTGTCATCTCATGCATCAAAAGGTTGCAGGTTCAACTCCTGGTCAGGGCACATACCTAGGTTGCGGGTTCAATCTTCGGTTGAGGGGTGTATGGGAAGGAAATGGTTGATGTTTCTCTCTCACATCAATGTTTCTCTCTCTCTAAAATCAATAAAAACATATCCTCGGGTGAGAATTTTTTTTTAAATTCTAAGCTTGTCATCAATGTAGATAACCTTTTTTTTAAGATGTAAATTTTTTATTTAGATATATAAATGTGATGTAAATCTATGCTAATAAATTTATCTTTTTTTTTACTTAAAATTTTTTAATTTTTTATTTATTAATTTGTTTTTGCTACAGATGTTTCTCATTTTTCCCCCATTGACACCCTCCTCCCTTCCCTCCCGCCCCATCCACAGCTTTGTTGCCTATGTTCATACATGCATGTAACTTCTGTGGTTTATCCACCCCCCCCCCAAGCTCCTCCTCCTCTGAGGCTTGTCAGTCTGTACCCCACCTCTATGTCTCTGGGTTAATTTTGTTCAACAGTTTGTTTAGTTCATTATATTCCACAAATAAGTGAGATCATGTGATATTTGTCTTTCTCTGCTTGGCTTGTTTTGCTTAGCATAATACTCTCCAGGTCCTTCCATGCCATCTCAAAGGATAAAAGATCTTTCTTTCTTACAGCTGCATAGTATTCCATTGTGTACATGTACCATAGCTTTTTTATCCACTCATCTACTGATGGGCACTTGGGTTGTTTCCAGATCTTAGTTATTATAAATGGTGCTGCTATGAACATAGGGGTACATATATTCTTTCTGATTGGTATTTCAGGTTTCTTAGGGTATATTCCTAGAAGTGCGATCACTGGGTCAAATGGCAGTTCAATTTTTAACTTTTTGAGGTAACACCATAGTGTTTTCCATAGTGGCTGCATCAGTCTGCATTCCCAGCAGCAGTGTTCCAGAGTCCCTTTTCTCCACACCCTCGCCAACACTTGTTGTTTGATGATTGTTGATGGTGGCCATTCTGACAGGTGTGAGGTGATACCTCATACTTGTTTTAATTTGCATCTCTCTGATGATTTGTGATGTTGAGCATTTCTTCATATGTCTCTTGGCCATCTGTATGTCCTTTTTGGAGAGGTATTTATTAAGTCCTCTGCCCATTTTTTAATTGGGTTCTTTGTTTTCCTTTTGTTGAGTTGTAGGAGCACTCTATATATTTTGGAAATTAACCCCTTATCTGATATATCATTGGCGATTATGGTCTCCCATATAGTGGGATCCCTTTCTGTTTTGATGGTTGTTTCTTTTGCTGTGCAGATGCTTTTTAGTTTGATGTAGTCCCATGTGTTCATTTTTTTCCTTTGTTTCTCTTGCCTTAGGTGCTGTATCAGTGAAAATTCTGCTGCATATGATGTCTGAGATTTTGTTGCCTACATTTTCTTCTAGAATTTTTATGGATTCACGAGTTACATTTAAGTCTTTTATCCATTTTGAGTTTATTCTCATGTATGGTGTAAGCTGGTGTTCTAGCTTCATTTTTTTTGCAAGTAGCTGTCCAATTTTCCCAACACCATTTATTGAAGAGACTGTCTTGACTCCACTGTATGCTCTTGCCACCTTTGTCAAATATTGAGCATATTGTCTTGGGTCAATTTCTGGGTTCTCTATTTATTTAAAATTTTTTTAAATTACAGTTTACATTCAATATTATTTTTATTAGTTTCAGGTGTATAGCACAGTGGTTAGACAATCATATAAAGTGTTTCACCCCCTGATATTTCCAATACCCAACTGACATCATACATAGTTATTACAATATTATTGACTATATTTCCTATGCTGCACTTTACATCCCATGACTGTTCTGTAACTACCAATCTGTACTTCTCAGTCTGTTCACCTTTTCACCTCTCCCCCAAACCCCCTCCCATCTGCCAACTATCAGTCCGTTTCTGTATCCATGAGTCTGTTTCTGTTTTGTTTGTTCCTTTGTATAATTCTTTAGATTCCACAGACAAGTGAAATCCTATGGTATTTCTCTTTCTTTGACTGACATTTCACTTAGCATAATACCCTTTAGGTCCATCCCTGCTGTTACAAAAGGTAAGATTTTGTGTGTTTTTTTAAGGCTGTTTATTATTCATATTTTAAAAATGTTTTTATTGATTATTTTTTAGAGAGAGAAGGGAAAGGAGGAGAGAGAGAGAGAGAGAAGCAGCAATGTGAGAGAGAAACGTTGATCGGCTGCCTCCTGCACACCTCCTACTGGGGATCGAGCCTGCAACCCCAGCATATGCCCTGAACAGGAATCAAACTGGGACCTCTCAGTCCATGGGGCAATGTTCAATCTGGGCTATTCATATTTTTTTAAACATTTTTTTCTTCCTCTTAAAAAAGACCCTTTAACATTTCTTTTAATACTAGTTTGCTGGTGATGAACTCCTTTAGCTTTTTCTTGTCTGGGAAACCTTTTATATGTCCTTTAATTCTAAATGATAGCTTTTCTGGGTAATCTTGGTTGTAGGGCCTTGTTTTTCATCACTTTGAATATTACTTGCCAATTCCTTCTGGCCTGCAAAGTTTCTGTTGATAAATCAGCTGACAGTCTTATGGGAGCTCCATTGTAGGTAACTAACTACTTTTCTCTTGCTGATTTTAAAAATCTCTCTTTGTCTTTAACCTCTAGCATTTTAATTATAATGTGCCTTGGTGTGGGTCTCTTTGGGTTCATCTTGTTTGGGACCCTCTGCACTTACTGGGCTTGTATGTCTATTTCCTTCACCAGGTTAGGGAAGTTTTCTGTCATTATTTTTTTGCACAGGTTTTCAAGTTCTTGCTCTCTCTCTTCTCCTTCTGGCACCCCCATGATGTAAAGGTTGGTACACTTGAAATCGTCCCAGAGCTCCTTCATCTACCCTCATGTTTTTAAATTCTTTTTTCTTTTTGCTGTTCTAATGGAGGCATTTTCTGCTTCCTTATATTCCAAATCACTGATTTTCTGCTTCATCTACTTTACTGTTGGTTCCTATAATTTATTCTTCATTTCAGTTAGTGTATCCTTCATTTCTCACTGGTTCTTTTTTATGGTTTCCATGTCCTTTTTCTATGCTGTTGAAGTTCTCACTAAGCTCTTTGAGCATCCATATAAACACTGTTTTCAACTCTATCTGGTAGTTTGCCTCCATTTCATTTAGTTCTTTTTTTTTTTTTTTTTTTTTGAGATTTCTCTTGTTCTTTCATTTAGGACCTATTTCTTTATCTCATTTTGGCTGATT